TTGGACGCGTTATCAGGAGGGACCAGTTCCCAGAGAAGGACATCATGCTTGGTAAAGTAGAGGGTCAGCAAAAAAAAAGGAAGACCCTCAACTAGATGGACTGACACAGTGGCTACAACAATGGGGTCAAACATAGCAACAATTGTGAGGATGGCTCAGGACAAAGCAGTGTCTTGTTCTGTTATACAAAGGGTCGCTATGAGTCAGAACTGACCTGACGGCACCTGTTGTGAATTTGATAACATAAAGATAGTTCTTAAGAGAGCATAATCATACTCAAGGCAGACTTCTTTATTACCAGTTAAGCTAAACTATTGTTTGGTTTTAAGACTTCAGGGGATATTTTTGGATTAAGGTTTAAAGATTATCTCAGGGTAAGAGTTTCAGGGGTTATTCCACCCTCCATGGCTCCAGAAGGTGAATTGAAACCAATTGTTACTCCTTGGATGGTTACTTACAGGCTTTTAAGACCCCAGACACTAAGAAATGATGAGGAGACAGAACAGAAGAAGCACTAAACACGTTATTAGGTCAAATAACTGGGATGTCCCATGAAACCATGACCCTAAAACTCCAAACCAAAGAATCAAATCCCATGAGGTGTTCGGTTGTACATAAGCAGCCTCAGAAGCTACTCTGTGCATCTATTTATATGTTTCATTGCCATTCAAATGTCCTCTTTGGTAAAATGTCTATTCAAGTCCTTTACTCATTTTATGATTGGGTTATTTGCCTTTTTGTTGTTAAATTGTCCAAGTTTTATATATATTTTGGTATTAGATTCTTATCGGATACATGGTTTCCAAAGATATTCTCCCAGCTGGTAGCTAGTCTTTTCACTTTTTTGGTAAAGTCTTTTGATGAACAAAGTTTTTAATTTTTATGAGGTCCCATTTATTTATTTTTCTTTTACTGTTTCTGCTTTTGTCAATTATATTAGATAATCCAATATTAAACGCTAGGCCCGAGAGCATTGTCCTATATTTTCTTCTGAGAATTTTATGGTATTAGTTTGCACATTTAGGTCCTTAATCCATTTTGAATTTGTTTTTGTGTATGGTATGAGGCATGGATTCTGTCTCATTTTTCTGCATGTGGAAATTCGATTTTTCCAACACCATTCATTGAAGAGACTCTTCTTTCCCCATTGAAAGGACTTAGCACTCTTGTCAAAAATCAGCTGAACACAGACGTGTGGGTGTATTTCTGGACTCTCAATTCTATTCCATTGGTCTATGCGTCTGGTGTTATACCAGTACCAGGCAGTTCTGATTACTATAGCTGTATCCACTTCACCACAAGGTCCCATAGATGTATAGTACGCTTTAAAATCAGGAAGTGTGAGTCTTCCTACTTTGTTGTTCTCTTTCTACATTGCTTTAGCTATTCAAGGTTCTTGCCATTCCATATAAAGTTGAGGGTTGGCTTTTCCAATTCTGTAAAGAAGGCTGTTGGTATTTTATTACTGCACTGTATCTGCAGATCACTTTGGGTAGTACTGACATCCTAGCAATATTAAGTCTCCCAATCCATGAACATGAAACATCCTTACATTTATTTAAGTCTCCTTTAATCTCTTTCAGAAGTGTTTTCTAATTTTCATTGTAGAAGTCTTTTACTTCCCTAGTTAGATTTATTCCTAGGTATTTTATTCCCTTGGATGCTATTGTAACGAGGCTGTAATCTTTACAGAAGCAGATCACCAGGTCTTTTCTCCTGTGGAGCTGCTGCTGAGTTCAAAACGCTGATCTTTGGGTTAGCAGCTGAGCACTTAACCATTGTGCCACCAGGGACTGTTGTTGTTAGGTGCTGTCCAGTTGGTTCCAACTCATAGCAACCCTATGTACAACAGAACGAAGCAGTGCTGGGTCCCACGCCATAACAACAATAGTGGTTATGCTTGAGCCCATTGTTGCAGCCACCGTGTCAATCCATCTTGTTGAGGGTCTTCCTCTTTTTGCTGACCCTCTACACTACCAAGCATGATGTTCTTCTCCAGGGATTGATTCTGCCTGACAACACGTCCAAAGTATGTAAGACGTAGTCTTACCATCCTTGCTTCTAAGGAGCACTCTGGTCGTACATCTTCCAAGACAGATTTGTTTGTTCTTTTGGCAGGCCATGGTATATTCAATACTCTTCACCAACACCACAATTCAAAGGCATCAATTCTTCTCAGTCTTCCTTATTCATTGTCCAGCTTTCACACACATATGAGGTGATTGAAAACATCATGGCTTGGGTCAGCGCACCTTAGGTGACATCTTTGCTCTTCAACACTATGAAGAGGTCTTTTGCAGCAGATTTGCCCAGTGCAATGTGTCTTTTGATTTCTTGACTGCTGCTTTCATGGATGTTGATTGTGGATCCAAGTAAAACGAAACTCTTGACAACTTCAATCTCTTCTCCATTTATCATGATGTTGCTTCCTGGTCCAGTTGTGAGGATTTTTGTTTTCTTTATGTTGAGGTGTAACCCATACTGAAGGCTGCGGTCTTTGATATTCATCAGTAAGTGCTTCAAGTTATCTTCACTTTCAGCAAGCAAGGTTATGACATTTGCTTAATGCAGGTTGTTAATAAGCCTTCTTCCAATCCTGACGCCCTGTTCTTCATATAGTCCAGCTTCTCAGATTATTTGCTCAGCATACAGATTGAACAGTATGGTGAAAGGATACAAACTTGGTGCACACCTTTCCTGACATTAAAAGACACAGTATCCCCTTGTTCTTACTGAACAACTGCCTCTTGATCTGTGTACACGTTCTTCATGAGCACAAGTAAGTGTTCTGGAATCCTCATTCTCCATAATGTTATCTATAATCTGTTACGATCCACACAGTCAAATGCCTTTGCACAGTCAATAAAACACAGGTAAACATCTTTCTGGTATTCTCTGCTTTCAACAAAGATCCATCTGACATCAGCAATAATATCTCTGGTTCCACGTCCTCTTCTGAATCTGGCCTGAATTTCTGGCAGTTCCCTGTCAGTATCCTGCTGCAGCCACTTTTGAAAGATCTTCAGCAAAATTTTACTTGTGTGTGATATTAATGATATTGTTCGATAATTTCTGCATTCAGTTGGATGACCTTTCTTGGGAATAGGTATAAAAATGGGTCTCTTCCAGTCGGTTGGCCACAAAGCTGTCTTCCAAATTTCTTGGCATAGACAAGAGAGCACTTCTAGCGCTGCATCCGTTTGTTGAAACATCTCAATAGATAGTCCGTCAATTTTTGGAGCCTTGTTTTTCGCCAATGCCTTCACTGCAGCTTGGACTCTTCCTTCAGTACCACTGGTTCCTGATCATATGCTACCTCCTGAAATGGTTAAACGTAGACTAGTTCTTTTTAGTATAATGACTCTGTGTATTCCTTCCATCTTCTTTTGACTCTCCCTGCGCTGTTCAATATTTTCTCCATAGAATCCTTCACTATGGCAACTCGAGGCTTGAATTTCTTCTTCAGTTCTTCCAGCTTGAGAAAGGCCGAGTGTGTTCTTCCCTTTTGGTTTTCTATCTCCAGCTCTTTGCAGATGTCATTATACTACTATGCTTTGTCTTCTCGAGTCACCCTTTGAAATCTTCTGTTCAGTTCTTTTACTTCATCATTTCTTCCTTTTGCTTTAGCTACTCAACGTTCAAGAGCAAGTTTCAGAGTGTCTTCTGACATCCATTTTGGTCTTTTCTTTCTTTCCTGTCTTTTTAATGACCTCTTGATTTCTTCACGTATGATGTCCTTGACGTCATTCCACAACTCGTCTGGTTATCAGTCATTAGTATTCAACGTACCAAATATATCCTTGAGACGGTCTTTAAATTCAGGTGAGATATACTCAAGGTCATAGTTTGGCTCTCATTGACTTGTTCTAATTTTCTTCAGTTTTAACTTCAACTTGCAATGAGCAGTTGATGGTCTGTTCCACAGTTTGCCCCTGGCCTTGTTCTGACTGATGATATGGAGCTTTTCCATTGTCTCTTTCCACAGATGTAGTCAATTTGATTCCTGTGTATTCCATCTGTCGGGGTCCATGTGTATAGTCACCGTTTTTATGTTGGTGAAAAAAGGTATTTGCGATGAAGAAGCCGTTGGTCTTGCAAAATTCTATCATGCAATCTCCGGCATCTTTTCTAGCACCAAGGCCATATTTTCCAAGCACGGATCCTTCTTCTTTGTTTCTAACTTTTGCATTCCAATCGCTAGTAATTATCAATGCATCCTGATTGCATGTTCGATGAATTTCAGACTGCAGAAGCTGGTAAAAACTTTCAATTTCTTCTTAGTGGTTGGCCTTAGTGGTTGATGCATAAATTTAAATAACAGTTATATTAACTTGTCTTTCAACCTGGAGGTGCTCATCTTCTGGCAGTATATCAGACAATGTTCCGCCACTATTCATAAGGTTTTCACTGGCTAATTCTTTTCAGAAGTAGACTTCCGGGTCGTTCTTCCTAGTCTGTCTTAGTCTGGAAACTCAGCTGAAACCTGTCCACTATGAGTGATCCTGCTCGTATCTGAATACCAGTGGCATAGCTTCCAGCATCAAAGCAACACGCAAGCCCTCACAGTACGACAAACTGACAGATACATGGAGGAGGAAGACCACCAGGAATTAGTCTCCAACAAATATAAAATCTTAAATTGGTTCCTTAGATGATGTTTTCTTAGGTAATATGAAATAATTTTAATCCTATCCTACACAAAATATAGTTAAGCAGGCATATCTCTGGATGGACTAGATGTGAATCTAATCTTAATCATAATAAAATCACAGACCAAAATAATAGATTTTTAAAGCATCTGCTTTTTTTGCTAACCCATGTCACTGATAGGTCTCTTAGCACAGAAATTGAGCTCAACGTTTTTATCAAGTTAGTGAGTATAAATATTAGATTAGATCAAAATTTAACATCCAACTGAAGTAAAGTATGTCACAGTCAACTTACACGTCTGAACTCCCTTCAGTTTATGCCGAAACAACAAATGAAAGCAAAATTCTTACCTTTCCTTCCTCGAGGTGAAGCAGGAGGACTTTATCCCCCGGCTTATAATCTTTGAGCAGCTCTGCTGACTTCCAGACTTCCTCGGGATCAGGTATCCAAACTCTGGCAAACTTGAAGACAAAATGGAAAAAAATTAAACTAGTAAATCAATGATTTTACAATGATATGTAAAACATACCATGAATTTATAATTAAACAATTTATGCCACAGAAGCTTGGTCAGTATGAAATTTAATTTTTATATTAGTAGAAGAAAAGTATTTTAGTCCCAGAAGCACCATCATGCCTAAATTATATAAAAAGTGTGCTCTGAAGAAATAGGTATAACTAAAGCTTGACTTTGCTTTATATAGTAAATGCTGCCAGAAAATGTCATTTTAGGCAAAAACATACACATTAAATCTATTTTTCCACTGAACATGGAATTTAAGAGACCTGTTGGCAAACATGATTTTGCAGCTCTGGTGTCATGGTTCTGCCAGTATCAGCAGCACAGTCATCTTTTTATAGCAAGGTTTACAATCTGAATTTTTTATTACGGATTTCATCCTGTATGCTACATAGCCTTAGTGAATTCTCAGCTATTCCTCAGGAGTTACTGTGAAGGGGAGAGGGGAGTAACCTGCAACTTTGAACCAGAGCTGTTTTACGTACTAGGCATCTGAAATTTTCCCTAAAGAAAAAGTTCCAATGCTAATAATATAAAAAAAATTTGAAAAAGCGTTGTTAGTATTCTGCCTTCATTATTTTTACAAAGATGAGTGAAAAATGGTACCTATGGCCAGCAATCAGCGTGACTCTTGTAACCTAGAAACCATGAAAGAGGCATGGTAATTATCAGAGGTTCCTAAAGCAGCAAATCTTTAGCCTCAACTGGATACTCTCTGGACTTAAGCCAGATGATTATGTGGTCAATTTTGAAGGAAAAGAACAAAATATATTAATATACATGAATACTTCAAACACTGCACCAAAAAGGTGTTTTATGAGGACACTTTCAGTGTGCACTAGACCTTAATGTCCATTTTCAGGAACAGATCGCATGACACTGGCCAGACCAAACCTGGCCTTGGGCCTGTACTTGTATTCTCATTTCACATGACCTCACCTCTAAGTTTCATTTTTAATAATGACCAGGATTCTAATTTGCTTGGAGCTTTCAGCTTAAGGAACATTTGGATTTGAGTATGTCACATATGGTGCCATTTCCTGATCAGCTGTGATAATGCAGTAGATGTTTTAAGCGCTGGGCATGGGAGGTGGGGCCAATATGGCGGAGTAGTCACACACTTCCGGTAGACCCTCTTACAACAAAGACCCGAAAAAACAAGTGATTCGATTATATATGGCAATCTGGGAGCCCTGAACATCAAAGGCAGAGTTGAGGAACCGGACTGAGTGGCAGGGGCAGGGAAAGACAGTTTGGAAGCAGCAAGGAGTTGCCGGACCTGAGCTGGTGAGAGTCTGAGCCCTTCAGGACTGATCAGCTCGAGGGTGAGCGGTGAGGCAGGCAAGCAGCCGTGCTCCGGAGGCATGTTTTCTGCACCGGGAGAGACCCAGCACCAGAGACTCTACACGGCCACCCAGAACCAATGAGAAGCAGCCCTCCACGAAAGATAAGTACTTGTGCACGGCTTACTACGTGGATCAAAAACACCCCCTCTTAGGGAGAAACCTCTCTCCCATTTACCTCCCCACTCCCTGCTCTGCACTGGGTCCCTGACTGGCTTCAGCAACTGCAGAGTCCCCTGGGCCAGAAGTAGGATCCGCACACGCCAGGAGCCATTCTCCCTGCCTTGGAGAGTGAACAAATCAACAAACAGGAAAAAATAAACTGTCAGCTCCCCTAAGCCAGGAAACTAGGGTAGACACGGCTCCTTTGCCTAGGCACAGCCATAAGGGATACACGGACTTTCAGTGCCCTTCCCCCTACATAGACTTGTGTGGGCCCATCTCAACAGCTTAGGCTCCCATTACTGCAGTACAACAGAGTATATACTGGAACTGGAACTTCAACTGTTTCAGCTGTGAAGTGGTAGGTTCTTGATATCTGACACTGCTGTGCCCATTAAGCAGGCTCTTCACCTACCCACATCAGGGGCCTGAGGACTGGTGGCTCCACCTACACCACCCAGCCACCTGCAAGAGGGGTCCATGAATAAGAGGTGCCCCCCAGTCCTTACAGCCAACAGCATTAGGTGCTCACAGTCTGGCTGCAAAACCCACCCACCTAAGCGCTCTAGGGAACAGGGACATGCCTTCCTCCTGGACACTCAGGGGCGGCTGTCAGCACCCTGCCTTGCTCAGAGTGTGTCACCCCGCTGCAGCCAGATGCCTGTGACTACACCAATCACCCGTGCCTGACTAGGACTGTAAGTGAGAGTCTACACCACACACTTAGTGGCTATCTACCTGGGCACCTGAGCTGAATCCATACACGAGGAGTGGGTGGACTCCGGAGCTCACATACCTAGTAACAGATCTAACCACCTGGTGACAGGACATTAGAGCTTCAAAGGTGCCAATAATCAAACGAGCTCATAGGAACAACCTATTTGGGCATATCAAAACAAAAACATGAAGCTAGGACACAGTAAGCAAACATAAAATGAATAAATATAATAACGTATTGATGGCTCAGAGAAAACAGTCAATATCAAATCACATAAAGAGGCAATCCATGATGGCTTCAGCAAGCTCCCAAAATAAAGAATCTAAAAACCTTCCGAACGAAAAAAATTTCTTGGAATTACTGGAGGCAGAATACAAAAGATTAAACAGACAGAACTCTTCAAGATATTAGGAAGGAAATTAAGCAATTAGGAAGGAAATTAAGCAAAATGAAGAACATGCAAGGAGGAAATTAAAAAGATTAGAGAAGAGCATAATGACAAATTTAACAGACTGCAAGAATCCATAGAGAGACAGCAATCAGAAATCCAGAAGATTAACAATAAAATGTCAGAATTAGACAACTTAATAGAAAGTCATAGGAGCATAATTGAGGCCATGGAAGTCAGAATTAGTGAGATTGAAGATAAAGCACTTGACACCAACTTATTTGAGGAAAAATCAGACGAAAGGATTAAAAAAAAAAGGAAGAAACCCTAGAAATTACGTGGGATTCTATCAAGAGGAATATCCTACGAGTGATTGGAGTATCAGAACGGGGGGGCTAACGGAAAATACAGAGAGAATTGTTGAAGATTTGTTGGGAGAAAACTTCCCTGATATGGCGAAAGATGACAAGGTATCTATCCAAGATGCTCATCGAACCCCACATAAGGTAGATCCCAAAAGAAAGTCACCAAGACATATTATAATCAAACTTGCCAAAACCAAAGATAAAGAGAGAATTTTAAGAGCGGCTAGGGATAGAAAAAAAGTCGCCTACAAAGGAGAGTCAATACGAATAAGCTTGGACTACTCAGCAGAAACCATGCAGGCAAGAAGGCAATGGGATAACATATATAAAGCCTTGAAGGAAAAAAACTGCCAGCCAAGAATTATATATCCAGCAAAACTGTCTCTCAAATATGATGGTGAAATTAGGGCATCTCCAGATAAACAGGAAGTTTAGGGAATTTGCAAAAACCAAACCAAAATTATAGGACATACTAAAGGGAGTCCTCCGGTTAGAAAATCAGTAACATCAGATAACAACCCAAGACTAGAACACAGGACAAAGCAACTAGATATCAACCCAGATAGGGAAGTCACAAAAGCAAATCAAAGCTAAAACACTGAAAATAGGGAAACAGATGTCAATATGTAAAAGATGACAACACTAAAACAAAAAAGAGGGACTTAAAAAACATAGACTAGATTTTTCATATGGAGAGGAAATCAAGGCAATATAAAGAAATAAAGGACTGGTATAAACTTGGAAAAATAGAGGTAAATATTAAAGTAACCACAAAGGAAACTAACAATCCTACAAGTCAAGACAAAAAACTATAAAAATGTAAAGACTCAGCAAACACAAAATCAACTACAATGAAAAAGATGAAAAGAAAATACATAAAGAAAAATGACTCGGCACAGAAAATTAAGTGGAACAAAGAAACTGTGAACAACACACAAAAAAGTCATCAAAATGACAGTATTAAACTCATACCTATCAATAATTACACTGAATGTAAATGGACTAAATGCACCAATAAAGAGACAGAGAGTGGCAGAATGGATTAAAAAACACGATCCATCTACATGTTGCCTACAAAAGACACACCTTAACAAACAAACTAAAACTCAAAGCATGGAAAAAAATATATCAAGCAAACAACACTCAAAAAGAGCAGGAGTGGCAATATTAATCTCTGACAAAATAGACTTTAAAGTAAAATCCACCACAAAGGATAAGGAAGGACACTATATAATGATTAAAGGGACAATACACCAAGACATAACCCTAATAAATATTGATGCACCCAACGACAGGGCTCCAAAATACATAAAACAAACTCTAACAGCACTGAAAAGGGAGAGAGACAGCTCCACTATAGTAGTAGGTAACTTCAACACACCACTTTCAGTGAAGGACAGAACATCCAGAAAGAAGCTCAACAAAGACACGGAAGAGCTAAATGCTACAATCAACCAACTTGATCTCACAGACATATACCGAACACTCCATGCAACAGTAGCCAAGTATACTTTCTTTTCCAACGCACATGGAACATTCTCCAGAATAGACCACATATTAGGCCCTAAAGCAAGCCTTAACAAAATCCAAAGCATCGAAATATTACAAACCATCTTTTCTGACCATAAAGCCATTAAAGTAGAAATCAACAACAGAAAAAGCAAAGAAAAAAAATCAAACACATGGAAACTGAACAACACCTTGCTCAAAAATTACTGGGTTATAGAAGAAATTAAGGATGGAATAAAGAAATTCATAGAATCAAACGAGAACGAAAACACATCCTACCAGAACCTTTGGGGCACAGCAAAAGCAGTGCTCAGAGGTCAGTTTACAGCAATAAATGTACACATCCCAAAAGAAGAAAGGGCCATAATCAAAACATTAACCCTACACCTGTAGAAAGAGAGCAGCTAAGCACTGGGCATGAAGAAGTTCTGGAGGGTACAAACATGTAACAAGGCC